TCAACCAGCAAATAAGTGTGCCTATTTATATATACATAAATATATGCCTATTTTAAGCAATTATAAAAAGGTAAAATCCTCTTGACTCCAAGGCCTCAAGTTTCTCTTTCCATTCTCTTGAACTTAAGTCAAAACATGACCTAGGATTATTTTCCTAGTACAAGTTTAGCTGTAGTATGCCTTGTGTGGGAATGAGCCTTGAGAATGTAAAATTCCTCAGGACAAGGAGAGATTCCAACTTTTTCCCCCCAAAATCTATCCCATCTTATCCTATTAGTTTAGAAGTGATTTCTAAACTACTCGTGAACTTTGTGCATATAGTAGAGCAGAGATAGCTAACCTATTTCATAATATGTGAGGTTTTATGGCATATCAACATTAGTTCATTATCAATCAGTAAGTCCCCCTTCATTATTCTTTTTTCTTTCTTTTTTCTCTTTTTAGCTTTTCTCACATATTTATTCTCCCAGATAAATAATAGATTCATTTAATATTTTATTTGGAATTGTGTTAAACCTATACATTTATATGGAAAGAATAATATCTTTTTAAGTACTCTCATGCAGGAATATGGTATTTCTCTCCAATTATTCAGATGTTCTTTGTTTTTAATTGAAGTATAGTCGATTTACAACATTGTGTTAATTTCTGGTGTATAGCACAGTGATTCAATTGTACATAATATTTATATATTCCTGTTCATACTCTTTTTCATTATAGGCTAATACATGGTATTGAATATAGTTCCCTGTGCTATACAGTACGAACTTGCTGTTTATCTATTTTATATATAGAAGTTTTATCTGCAAATCCCAAACACCCAATTTATCTCTCCCCACCCCTTTTCCCCTCTGGTAACCATAAGTTTGTTTTCCATGTCTGTGAATCCAGTTATTCAGATGTTCTTTAACATGTCTCAAAGGGTTTTGCAATATTTTTCTCCAGATTTTTTTTCCCTTCAGTTTTAATTTTTTCCAATTTTACTGAAATATAATTGACATAGAATATTGTATAAGTTTAGGTTGTGTAACATAATGATTTGATATATGTATATATTGTGAAATGATTATCATAAGAAGTTTAGTTAATATCTATCACGTCACCTGGCTACAAGTTATTTTTCCCTTGTGATGAGAACTTTTAAGATTACTCCCTTAGTAGCTTTCAAATATGTAACACAGTCTTCGTAACTATAGTCGTCATACTGTTCACTACGTAAATGTGAAACACTTCACAAGTTTGCATGTCATCCTTGCCCAGGGGTCTTGCTGATCTTTTCTGTATCATTCCAATTTTAGTATATGTGCTACCAAAGGGAGCCTCTCCAGATTTCTTTAATACATTAACTTCTGTGTTTCTGTTCTCATTATAAATGGGAGGTCTTCTGTTTTATTTATTGGATAATTAATGCCAGGGTGTAGGAAGGCTGCAGCTGTCCGGGCATTGAGTGTCACTCTGATATTGTCCCTAACAGCTTGTGTGTCGGCTCCCAGGTGTTGGTCTTTTTACCGTGTGCTTTACACACATTATCTTGTTTAATCTTCATAATAGATTTATGAGTGAAAGACACTGTTATTTCCACTTTATAGATGAGAAAATTAGAGCTTAGAGAGTTTAAACTGTCCAGGTCTACTCAACCTCTAGAGTCTTCTTTTTCTACATTCTGAAATTATATGTGCAGTATTTGGAGACAATTCTTTATTGAACATTTAATGGTAAGACTACTGGGAATAACTCCTGATAACTTTTTCAATTTCTTCTTTGGTTATTGCTTTAAGATTATGTCAATGTGGATATTTCATTTTCCTCCCAAATCATCCATTTTTATCATTATTTATTAATTTATTAGATTATTACTGTATACAGCAGAATTTTCCAGGTGTGATTATTAGCATTTTAAAATAAAGAGTAACTATTAAATAATTATAATGAATAATTATCTTGTTTATATTTAATAAACATCATTACATAATTGTTTAATTGATAATTATTAAATAATGATTTTTAAAGAAATGTTACATGTACATTGTTCTTAAAATCCAATCAAAGTAAAATTAAAATAGAAAGTTACAAAGAAAGTTTCAAATCAGCACAATCCAGTCACTCAGAATTAGCCGTTCACATTGGTGAACACTCTTCCAAGTCTCTCTCTGCAGAAATAGAATGATGGACCTGTGCATGGATACATGGAGGGATAATTTTTTTTGAAAGATACAGTTTAATTAAAATTGAATCATACAGGTTACTTTTTAATTTATTTTTTTATATATATATTTTATTGAAGTATAGTCAGTTTGCGTCAATATTGTGTCAATTCCTGGTGTATAACATAATGTTCAGTCATACATGAACATTGATATATTCATTTTCATATTCTTTTTCACTATAAGTTACTATAAGATATTGAATATAGTTCCCTGTGCTATACAGTATAAACTTGTTGTTTATCTATTTTATATATGTTACTGTTTGCACATCTCGAACTCCCAGTTTATCCCTTCCCACCCCCTTCCTCCCTGGTAACCCTAAGTTTGTTTTCTATCTGTAAGTCTGTTTCTGTTTTGTAAATAAGTTCATTTGTCTTTTTTTTTTTTTTGAGATTCCACATGTAAGTGATATCATTTGGTATTTTTATTTCTCCTTCTGGCTTACTTCACTTAGTATGACAATCTACGGGTCCATCCATGTTGCTACAAATGGCATTATTTTATTCTTTTTTTTTGGCTGAGTAGTAGTCCATTTTATAAATGTACCACAGCTTCTTTATCCAGTCATCTGAGTCACCTGTCAGTGGACATTCAGTTTGCTTCCATGTCTTGGCTTGTATATAGTGCTTCTATGAACATGGGGATGCATGTATCTTACTGAATTAAGGTTCCCTCTGGATATATGCCCAGGAGTGGAATTGCTAGATCATATTAAGTCTATGTTTAGTTTTTTGAGGGATCTCCATACTGTTTTCCATAACAGCTGCACCAAACTACATTCCCACCAACAGTGTAGAAGGGTTTCCTTTTCTCCACACCCTCTCCAGCATTTATTATTTGTGGACTTCTGAATGCTGGCCATTCTGACTGTGGTGAGGTGATACCTCACTGTAGTTTTGATTTGCATTTCTCTGATAATTAGTGATATTAAGCATTTTTCATGTGCCTATTGGCTATCATACAAATTACTTTTAAAATAAAGAGTACTACCATTAATTTTACTTAAGAATTTCAATTGAAATGAAATGAAGAAATTCTT